TTTATAATTTAATAAAATATTATAAATATTAATTTCTACTTTATATTAATATTACGAAAGAAATATTTTAAATTACTTAAATAAGTAATAAGAATAAAGTTAAAAAAAAAATATAAAAATATTTTAAAAGCTTTTTTTTTGCTAGCTCATTTCCTATTCCTATTTTCGTTAATTAAGCGCTATTTTTGCCTCTATTACCCTATTTAAGTAATCTTATTTTATAATAAACTCCCGCTCTTTATGGGCTTAGTTTATTAAAAACTCGCGCTCTTTACGTTCTTATTTAAACTTAAACTCTTATTCTTTTCGTTCTTTATCCTCTTAGATCTTATTAATCCTTAATTATTATTCTTTAAACGTAAGATAATTTACGCTTATTTACGTTTATAATTAGGTAGCTTATTTTTATAAACTGCTATAAGGTACTAGGGAACTCGGGGGGTTTTGACTTCTATTTAATAAAAAAAGTACTTTAGAAAATAAAATACTTACTCCGCGTTAAGACTAAGTATTATCAAAATTATTATAATTATTAAAACTAAAGCTACTAAAGTTCTTACTTTAAAAACTACTCTATTAATTAGTAACTAAATCCTTACGAGTTCTTCGTTAGGTACGAAATAATTCTCTAGTATTAATTTATAAACTCTTAGCCCGATCTCTTACTTTTCTTTTTAATTTAATAATTAATAAGTATCTATTAAAGCGCATTTTAAATATATTCTAACGTTATATTAAATACTAAAAATGGCCTATAATATTAGTATTTTGATATAAAGTTATAATATACTTATAACGCGTTACGAAATCCTGCGATATTAAATTCTAATCTTAGTTACGAGTACTATTAAAGTTAGTTAATACTTATAATAATTAATTATTAATACGTACTTATTAATTATAATAAGTAGAGGGAGATACCGGCTAGTTTAAATATATAAAACTAAGTAAAGGATCTTAACTATGTTTATACTATTGGGTATTAGAAGCTAGTTTTCTAAAGAAACCTTAGTTATTTTATTATAAAACCCGGTTATAATATATAGTTCTTGTTTATGCTTTACTTAGTTAGTATATTATAGAAAGTTTTTTATAAAATAATAAGTTATTATTAATCGGGCGAGGTATTAACGAGAAATATTTTAAAAATATTTTAGAAACGTTTTCCCCTTTTAAAATATTTTTAAAATATTTCTATTATAAGCTATATATAGTAAGATATAATACTTATAATAAATTATATCGCATAGCTCGTTATAGTTAGGCACTATTTAATATTTTAAGAGAGATATTAATATATTATAAGTAGAGTTTATACTACGAGAATAATTTTTGCCTAAGAGTTTTTTGACACTTTTTTTAAAATATACGTAATATAGGTATATATAGTTTTAGACTTACGTAAGCTATATTTACTAAGGGTTAAACTTTTTAATAAGGTATTTACCTAAGCTTTTAATTACTATATTTACTTAGTTTAAAGTAACTTTAAAAAGGCCGGTTCTATAGACGTATTTCTATTAAACTTAAACTTAATACTTTCGCTCTAAGATATTAAATATAGCTTAAAATATATAATAGTATATATCTATAGTTTCGGTATTTATATAGACCCGTATAAGAGGCAGAGCTTTATAAATAATATATTAATAATTTTAAAACAAAGGTTAAGAAATATTTCGGAAACATTTCCAAAGTTATAATATACCTTTTTTGCTATTCTAACTATACTAGCCCTAGATAATTTCTTACTAACCTGTACCCTTTATATATTTATAGTTTATATTAACTATAAATAACTTCATATTATTAAACTTCTATTATTCCGCTTATTCTTAAAAAAAGTAAATAACTATATAGTTAGTATTAGATTAGTACGTATACTAAATATACTATATACCCATTATAATATTAAAATAGCTATTTTTTTATATTTATAAAAAAACTTATGCATATTCGCTTATTTACTTCTCTTTGCTACTATAATATAAAAGCTAAGGTTTAACTTCCCCTAGGAAACAAAAGAATCTATTATTTACGGATAATATATTATAAAAAGTCTATCTTTATAAAGCTTTAATAAATATCTATAATTATTCGCCCCTTATTCTTAGCTAGGAATTCTTAGAATTAAGGAGATTGAAGAAATACGTTTAGACTTGTACTTAGTTTATTAATTCTCTAGAGAACTTAAAAAATACTTTAAATAATAGTTTTTAGAGTTTTATTTAGTAGTAGTAGAGGATAGTTATGTTTACCATAAGACGTTAAGATAATAAATAGTATTATCTTAATATCCTTTAAAATAAAATATCGATATTTAACAGAATACTTTATTACTTTAAGTTTAGGTAGTAGTCTAAAATGAGTTTCATCTAATTAGTAATAACTTAGCCTTATCCTTTAATAAAATATCTAATAAACTTACTACAAATAGGACGTTTTCGATAATTTAATATAAATATATAGTATTCTTAACCCCTTTCCTCTATAAATTGCGCATCCGTTTTATTCATAGCTACTTTAACATATTATATATAATATTTCTAATCTAATAAAATTAAATAAAAGTAGTAATTTATAAGTCTTTGCGAAGGATACGAATTTCGGCATAACAAGATCCATTACTAAAGACTAACAAGCTCCTATTAAATCTTTTATAAGTTATTTATATTATCTTATTAAGTAATCTTATACTTATACTATATTATGTCTTCTTTAGTTTAAAGAAGCATATTACATTCTATTCTTAATATATAACACCTTTCTTAAATCTAGCGTATGTAGTATAAATAGTACTTTATCTAAAAAAAGAAAGATTAGAAATATTCTTAAAACGTTTTTAAAATATTTCTAAAAATTTTTTTAAATAACCGGACTTACCTAATAATCTTTTTTATAATATTAAATATCTTAACTCTATCTCGTAGTATATTATACTTCTTAACGAGGTCCTTTAAAATAATTATATAATAAAAGTTATTATAGGGTATATATAGACAGGCTTTGCTACCTTAGTAAGTATAATAGTATCGCGTTATAGGTATATCTCCTAGAATAATACTAATTATTAGAAAACTAGTAATACCTCGTCAGGTATTATATTAAATCTACTATTTTTTAATAATTCCTAATATTAAGAAATAGAAAGTTAAATATACTATATTCTATAGCCGCTCGATTTCTTTTATAAATAAGGCTTTAGTTAAAATAATAAGCGCAACTCTATTATTAGTAATTAGAAGAAACTTAAGTATACTAGCCGCATATTAAAGCTATTATACTATAATAATACTTCGGTTATTTTAAGTTTTAGTACGGATATTTAAGCTATTAGAAATAATAATATAATTATTAGAATTATTATCTATAACCTAGGTATAATATTAATATTTAATATAGAGGTTTAATATATATAATACTTACTCGTTTAATCAACTTTTTATAAATAAGAGCTCGATATTTATAGAGATTAGGATATAAAGTAAATATACTATCGTAATCTAAATTTTCTTAGACATTTTATAACAGATTTAATTCGCTTTACTAAAGTGAGGGTATTAAAATAATATCATTATTATATATAATAAATAAGTTTTACGGAAATAATTCCATAGAGTCGGTTATAATAAGCAAATTTTAGCATAATCAAAAAGAAATATAATTAAAAAACATTTCTAAAACAATTTAGCAAAGCGTAAAATAGTATATTCCCTTATTATATAAAACTCGTAATATTCAAACTAGTAGTAAAGCGATTATATAGTGAAATATTTCTAGCCCCTAATTAGCTAAAAATTTACCTAGGGATCTACTAATAACTGAGCACCTACCACTATATACGGGACTCCTACCTTAACTAGGGGGGGTTATTATCAGTTTATCGAATCACTCCTTAACTCATCTACACTGCAGGAGAGAGTGAGAAAAAAAAAACCGAGCCAGTCCGTTTCAACATCATTCGCCCCTTCCCATATGAAAGGAACCCACCTGGGCTCACACACCGCAGACACCCGAACAGAGACCAGTAGCCGCCAGTTCCCCAGCGACAGGACCCCCTGTTCCATCCATTAGCTCACTTCACTGCCCTGCACACGCACCTGCACAAAAAAGCAACCCACCACAGCCACACCTCAGAGCCCAAAGCCCAAAAAAGCACCACCATTTTTTGTTACGGGGGCGCTTTCCAAACGCACACAATAAAGCCCACCGCCCACTTTCGCACTTCCTCTCGAACATCTCGCTCTCTCTCCCCCCTTCCAACCAACCCACCCCCCCTTCACACATCCTACCTATACCGCTGAGAACCGGAATTCTCACGAGTAGTCAAGATGCCCAAGAATAAGGGAAAAGTAAGTTGTCACGCCCCCCAGTTCCATGTCCCCAAGTACCCAAGGCGAAGGAGGAAGAGACGAAAAGAAAAAAAAAGACAAGTTCCTTCTCAGCGACAAAACCACCCCTCCCCCTGCTTAGTCGCGCGCCCCGCCAACAACCCCGCCCCCTCCTTGCCATTGCTCGACACATACACACGACGCACATTGGCGATGATGATGATGGCGTTGACGATGCCACTGGCGATGGAGGTGGAAGCAAACGGTTGATCATGAAGACTAACAACCAAAACAGGGAGGAAAGAACCGCAGACGTGGAAAGAACGAGTCTGACCACGAGAAGCGTGAGCTCACCTTCAAGGAGGATGGCCAAGGTTAGTTCACCACCCATTCCCAACCCGAAAAAAAAAAAAAGAAGAAGAAAAAAACCACAGACGCGTTCCCACCGCCACTTCCCATCGCTACGGAACAAACCAAACCAAACCAAACCAAACCTCCAAAGCGCATCACAGCTAACTTTCCTCCTCTCTCTCCCCCACAGAATACGCCCAAGTCGTAAAGATGCTCGGCAACGGCCGCCTCGAAGCCCAGTGCTTCGACGGCGTCAAGCGCCTCGCCAACATCCGCGGCAAGCTCCGCAAAAAGGTCTGGATCAACCAGGGCGACATCATCCTTCTCTCCCTGCGCGAGTACCAGGACGACAAGGGCGACGTCATCCTCAAGTACACCGCCGACGAGGCCCGCTCCCTCAAGGCCTACGGCGAGCTCCCCGAGTCTGCCAAGATCAACGAGACGGACACCTACGGCGCCGACGGCGACGGCGACTGCAACTTTGAGTTCGACGACGACCGCGACTCGGAGGAGAGCGACGACGAGGGCGCCGCTGGTGGCGCCGGCAAGAAGGAGGTTGACATTGATGACATTTAAACCATGTCATCTCTTGTCTCCCAACACTCGCAACAACATATCAGAGTGTCTAGAACCCCGAAACCTTCCCACTTCTCAAATCATTCGTCTTTCCTCTACCGCTAGATGGAGCGAGGTGGGAACGCTGTCTTCTCTCTCAAACCCCGCGGTCGTTTAATTCTCATATTATCCGCTGTAGGGTTCCGCGACAGTCAAGGTGTCAAGGGTGGTGCGTTGGACGGGCCATGGTGGGAGAGACGTCATGGCTTGTCAAATCATCAGAACGATAGATCTTACCTCTTTACTTGCGCTTGAGTAATTAAATCCAGTTTGGTCCGTGGCTTGCGCCGCTTACCAAATGTTCATCATATCACGCTTGCCAATTGTCTTACTACGTGATATGCCTACAGAACGAGCAGTCTGCGCAACGCGTTTGAATTTTGTTTTAGTTCCAATTTCTTACATGCGGTCAGCGGGCTTGCTTCGAAAGTAAGATTGTCCTTTTTCTACCCAGGTGCCGTTCTCCAGATGCGGATATACTGAGCATCTCCCTGGCACCTTTGGGGTTGACCAACCAAAGAACTGTGATGCTTTTAGACCGTACCCGCCCGCCTGATCCCTAATTGTGCAGCTGTCGCTTTGGATAGCCAAGAATCGAATACGATGTAATACTGCTTCCATCCGCCTAAGAAGCCTAGGCCACAACTTGCGGTACCGGTCCAATGACCCCAAGACTGTCCTTCATACACGTCCCTCGACCCCGAACAGGTCATCGCTTACCAGTCGTCGTTGTCGCTTCTCTCATCATCTAGTGACGTATTAGCATTGGTACAATATCAAGACGTGCTGGCTTTCACTTACCACTTCTGCTAACTTTCTCCTTTCTCTTCTGGAGGGCAGCGGCCAGAGCGTTAGCCATGTCACCACCACCACCACCACCAGGTGCTACACCGGCTGGAGGCAAGCCGCTTCCATGAGGACCACTATCACTACCGCCACCAACTGTGGCACTGCTTCTGTCGCGGATCTGACTGCGGTCCACCTTCTTCAGGGCCCTGATGCCACCAGCTTTCTGGATGTCTCCCAAGACGGCCGAGCGCGAAGAATCCGGTTGAGGAACAGGAACGCCAGAGGAGTACCCAGAGTCTCGGTTGGGCATAGGGGGTGGTGGAGGAGGTCCGCCCAGGCCTCCTGGTGGTGGAGGTGGCGGCGGTGGGGGAGGTGCTCCTGCTCCGGGAGGCGGCGGAGGAGGCGCAGGCGGCGCATTGTTTAACGGAGGCAGAGGAGGTGCCGGAGGGGCATTGGACGACGGCAATGGCGGCGGCGGAGGAGCATTCGATGTTGGGAGAGGTGGCGGCGAGGTGGGCAGAGGCGGCGGCGGAGGAGCACTCGAAGATGGCAACGGTGGTGGAGGAGGAGGCAGGGGCGGACTGCCAAGCGCCGGGGGTGGAGGCACCGGTCGTGAAGACGGGGGTGGTAACGGCGGTGCCTCTGACGCCGGAGCTTTCGGAGGGAGTGGCGGGCCATCCGAACGTGGGGGCGGCGGCGGTGGGACGGGTCCTCGACTCGGAGGTGGCGGGCCCTGCCTGGCCCCGGCAAATGCGGGCGGTACACCAAATTTGTGTCCAGCAGGCCTTTCTTCCTCTTGCATTGGCGTTTTGGGTGGCCGCGGCGGAGGAGGTGGCCCAGGGTTTGCTGGCCCACCACGAATAGCATTGACTGAACCTCCCAAGGCATGTGCGAGTTTGCCGGCATCAGGTAGGGGAGGCGGTACTGCGAATCGACTCCTCGATGCTTCTGGCGCTGGAGGCTCGCTTGGGGGTGTCGGCTCTCTATTGACAGCAGGCGCATCTGCTTTTCCAGATCTCCTAGCAGGCGGGGGTGCAGGTGCCGCGCCGCGCCTAGGTGCGGGCGGGGGCGGAGGTAAACGTGGGCCATCTGAATGACTTCCTCCTGGGGGAGGCGGTGGAGGAGGCGCTCTTCCGTTCCGAAGTTCAAGGCTATTTGTATGTGGTGCTGGCGGAGGAGGGGGAGGAGGAGCATGACTCCGAGCGCCAGCCATTAGTTTCTCTTGCTCCTCCTTCAGGAATTCGACAATGAATTCTTGGTTCTCCTTGATGAACTCATCCGTCAGTCCCTTATCTCGGAGATCTTGGCCGAAATTCTCCCGCCATTGAGGGTCGAAGGCATCAAGAACAGCGAATTCTGAAGATTTATGACCGCCATTCAGAGAAGGCATACGGCCATGTGGCTGGTTCGATCGCGGGGAGTCAGGAGGGGTAGGTGCTGCTGCATGCCGGCCGCCAAAGAGACCTCCAAGTAGACCATGTTTATGTGCGGCAGCCTGGGAGGCTCCTCCGAATGGTGTCGATCTCGTAGCTCTGCTTGCGTTCTTTTCTCTATCGTCCATTTTCTTCTTGAATTGCTTGGCTTCCTTCTCGTCGGTGAAAGAGAGGCCGGCGAGGCATTCTTCAATCTCAAAGCTGTGGAAATAGGTGCGATCTTGATTGTAGCTCCACGTGTCGAAAATCTCCTGGTCCCAGATGACACCGCGGTTTCCAGACTTTGAATATGTCAGCCAAAATTGCACGTGGCGCCGTGGGCGCAGTCACTCACTGAAATGTCCACCATCTTGAGCCAGTACGTATTGCCGACGAGATCGTTTGACAGGACGATGGCGCCCTGAATACCCGTGTTTGTCCATCTCGCGGGGTTGGGGTAAGCAACGTATAGCCTGGCAACGGCTACGGCTTGGATCTTGTTGGTCTGCTTGGGGACGAAGCGCTTGACCGTCTCCTTGTCATCGTCGCTCAAAATTGACGGCATGATGGCGGCGGGAAGACTGGGAGGGGTCGCCGGAGGAGAGAGGGGGGAGGGGATGTTCGGTGGGATCGGTTGGGTGAGGTGTCGTTGTTCGTATGTAGTTGAATCAAGGTGGAATTGGAATTGGGACGAGGTGGAGTGGTTGTATGGGTCGTGTGCTTGCAAGAGCCGCGGCAGCAGAGGCAACAGCCACCTTTGGTCGTGGTGGTTTGGGTTGTACGCGTGTATAGGCGATGGAAAGTGGCGCTTAGGAGTTGGTGATTAGGCTGGGCAAACAGACACCTCCTCTTTCGGGATGGCGCTTCGTAGTATGATCGCTTTCAGTAGTAGGTAAGGTGATACCTGCAAGGACGACAAGGACCCCAAGACAAGTCAACCAAGTGCCGTCGCTTGTCGGTGTTGGAGGCAGCAAGGCAAGGTACACTGTATGGTACACAGCAGGTAAGGTATAGCTAGTGTCGGGACGATGCTTCGCTATGCAATGCGGTATGTGAGGCAGCCACTCTGTGTCCAACAAAAAGCAAGCTGCGTGGGAGAGTGATAAGCTTGTGGTCAAAGATGCCAGAGCTTCCGGGTCCGGGGGCGTTTCATGAAATGTGGACTCGCATCACTCAACGGGGGAACCCTGGAATACCATGTAATTGGGCTTGCGGAAAGGCTGAAGGGAGGAGAAGGTTGTGCCGGGTGATGGCGAGGATGAGGTCCGGGTGGTTATATGTGAGATGAAATGGTGTGCGTGCGTGCAGTTTGCGAATGGGATAATCGGCAAACCTGGGACCTGACCTGACTGAATGGCAGACGATTGTTGGACTCATTTTGGGACAGAGTGACCGCCCAAAGACACTGGGCTTACGCAGTACCCAAGGTACCTTACGCAGCCCAGCGGAGGTTGGCGAGTGGGCGCTGGCTGGCCGGGGCTCGTAACCGGCCCTGGGCCACGGCGGGCTGGTGGCTGAGTCGTTCGTTTCAGTGGACTTTGGCTGGGATGTTTCCCTCCTCCGGGCGCTGCTCGGGCGACTGACTACCTGCTCAGGCCCCGGTCTTCGCTGTCGGATTGTCCTTCCCGCGTATTAAACACAGGCACCAGCCACACTGTGTTTGCACCGCCACGTGGAATACAGAGGAAGGCTGTCGTCATTGTGGGACGCGCAACCGCAGCATACGCCGTAAGGTAGCATCGCTGCTTCCCGAAGACACCGGTAGCGGGCATGGGCTGACACGGCGACGGAAGCATGGCGACGATCACCAACAGATTTCCAGAGTGGAATACCTACTCACTCCGATCCGTTCTGACCACACTGCAGGTGAATATACTAGCAAGGCATTGCAAGCAACGTTTCAAATTGTCTACAACAGCGCGATGTTTGATGGCCAAGGGAGCCCAGGCCATACCAAAACTGTCAGGTTATGTAGGATTTGATTCATGAATTCATTGGCAGTATTAATATGACTTTATCCACCGACCAATTCCCTAGCCTCCGTGCTTGTTGATCCGTCTCCATCGCCGTTTCCCATAGTCTACAATGCGTAACTGGTCATACAAGGCCATGCATCACATTTGATGCTGCCTGATCGTCGTGCTGGTTTATTTGTTCAAAGCCTCCGCCTTGGCTCGGCGCTCCTCCTTAGTTCCCTCCTCTTGGGCGTTGAAGTCCTTGGGGACGGCAGGGCCGGGGTGCGCTTGGTGAGCAGCAAACTTGGGGTCGACACCACCCTCCTTGATGGGCTGAGTGCTGAACTCCTTCTCCTTGTCGGAGTTCTAAGTAAGATGTCAGCTTCGCTGCTGTGGGTGAGTATGAGGGAGAGATGCTACTCACGTCACCCTTGGTGATGTTGTTGACGAGTTCCTTAACCTTGTCGGCCATTTTGACTGGTGTTTGAGTACTTGGGTGGTTTAGTTTGAGAGTCTTTGGTACTTTGATGGATCGATAGTGTGATGAATAGTTAAACGGCCAGGCAGCAAGAGCAGGACACTGGGCTACTTATAAACTATCTTTGCTGGTGGCTTACATGTGAGTTGAGGCAGGTCACTGCGGTACGTGGAAGGTTGCGACGGCCGATGACGTCGTCCCGCCCGCAGAGGGGTAGAGGCAGTCACAACCCCGCGAGCAACATCCCCGCTTACCTGGAAGGCCTCCTATGCAAACACCAAAAGACGCATGTCTTTTTGGTTGTGCGATTGGCTCTCTGCGTGTACC